TGCAGAGTCCCACAGTAGGGATGAGTGTGTGTATGTGCGTGTAAATACCACTAATAACAACCACCATAGGCTCTGCAGTTGCTGGGTATGAGGCACTTACTCAGTAGTCTACATTCGCTGAATTTCTTTTCATGAGGAGCTTTTAGGCAGATACTACTTTCCCCGTATTACAGAGGCAAAATTGAGACTCCAAGTAACCTGTGCAGGGTCATCCAGCTAGCACCGTAGGTTATGGACACTGTGCTACTTTTTCTTATGGGAAGCAAAAAAAAAAAGGGGGGAGTGGGTAAGAAATGAAGATGTAGTGAGTATTTATTAGCTGTCAGTCACTGAATTAGAAAATACAGATGGGAGGGAGACACATAAATTGCCAATTACAACATAGTTTTGGCCATGATTTGTACCATAACACTGGCTTAAAAAGGATTATTCAACCCCAGGAGACTGATAAACTTTCTTTACGGGTAGGAACTGGAAATAGATTTGCAGTTGCATCAGTGAGTAAGAACTTGAAAAACGAAAAAGGAATATGTGATCAGAGATTGGAAAAAGCAGTGTCAGTTCCAGGGCACAAAGCTGCAAACCTGGGAAAGAGCAGGAGAAGGGTGACATGATACAAAATGCATGTCAGAGGGCAGGGGCACGCCCCAGCCGTACCCCAAATAGTCACTGTCTCTGCAAGGGTTTCACTGAATGGCTGTTGTGGTCAGAATGCTGTCACTTTGACCCCCATCAACCACTCCTCCCACCCCACTCCACTGCCAAGGACATTTCATATGAGGGGAGGCTGGTCCCCAGGGAGGTATTATGGAACACTTAAGAGGCAAGGCCTAGAACAAGGTCCTTAGGCAAACCAAAGGATTGCCCGCAAATGGAAGGAGGTCTGGCTTGTGGGAACTTGGCTAACTCTCGTAGAAGATTGTTAAGGCCAAACCTCCGGTCTCTCTCTGGAATCCAGTTGTGGAATTTGATTCCTTTGTCCCAAGACCGTTCCTTCCTTGAGGCACCACAGCAGACAGAGGCCACCAGTGGACTCAGCTGGTGCCAGCAGCGTGTGCTTGACCCTCCAAAACCATGAATCAAATAAACCATTTTACTTAAAAGGTTCACCTGTGTCTGGTGTGCTATTTTGATTGTTGAAAACTAGACTAACACCAATGGCCAATGACTAAGGAAATATTGAAAGAGAAAGGGGGTTTAAGAGACAGGAGTATGCAACCAGCCTTCCACCTTGGAGTTAAATGCATTCTATGCTCTTTTTGGTGTGTTGTAAATTTCTTTGGGTAGTATTTTGCTGAAAATTCTTGCAACTATGTTCACAAGAGATCCTGGTTTATAGGCTAATTTTCTTCATCTGGCATTGTTTTCAGCTGACTATTGACCTTGTAAAGTGAGTTTGAATGTAATTCTTACTGTTCTGTTGCCTTGTTTCTTGAAGAGTTTAAACAGGATTGTTATCAATTCTTCCTCGAACGTTGGTATTGCTTAGCTATGAAGACATCCGGTTCTAGAACTTTTCAGTGGGAAGATTTTTAGCTGTTTTAATCTTTGATCTACTCAGAATTCTCTTCATCTTTTAACAGTTTGGGTGTGCATTTGCCTCACAGTTGATTACTTTTGATCAAGCCTATTAGGAGTTCTTCCATCTCTGTGGACCTGTTTGTCCTCGAACTTTCAGCAATTATGAAATGCAATAATTTCCTTTGACTTTTCTGTTGCTTTTTCCTTCCGAAACACCCGCAATGTGGATGTTTCCTTGCTTACCAGTGCCCCTTGTCTCCTGGATGAATTTCCTCATTCTTTAAACGTTTTCAGAAATTTTAAATTCAGAAATTCTTATGCCTGCTAAAGTAAATGAGAATCTCAAATGTATTTTACTTAATTAATTGTTATTTTCTAATTAAAGAGAGAGGAAGACAGAAGCAGAAAGAATTTCCATGTGCTGTTTCACTCCCTGGAAGCTTGTAGCACCACGCATGGAAGTGACTTAAAGGGGATGAAAAAATTACAACACCTCTCAAATGTAGTTTAAATTTAATTTATTGACTAGTTCAGATTTAAGATTTGAATCTTGTTTTTGTTTTTTTTTTTTTTTAGTGATCAACTCTCGGCTGAATTTTCTTTTTTTAAGATTTATTTATTTTTCTTGGAAAGGCAGATATACAGAGAGGAGGAGAGACACAAAGAAATATCTTCTGTCTGCTGATTCACTCCCCAAGTGACTGCAAAAGCAGGAGCTGAGCAGATCTGAAGTCAGGAGCCTGAAGCTTCCTCTGGGTCTCCCACGCGGGTGCAGGGTCCCAAGGCTTTGGGCCGTCCTCGACTGCTGTCCCAGGCCACAAGCAGGGAGCTGGATGGGAAGTGGGACCCCCAGGATTAGAACTGGCACGTGCAAAGCAAGGACTTGAGCTGCTAGGCTACCATGCTGGATCCATTGGGGTGACAGAAAGTGGTCAGAGCCATTCAAAGAAGGCTGCTTGACAACTTCCTGGAGTCTAGGTGGATGGGCGGGACCGATAGTATTCTCTGGGATTTTGTGGAACAATTCATTTAATACAGGCTGTCTGCTTGCATTCTGAGGTCAAGGCCATGAGAGCAGACCTACTTGGTTGTGTCCAGCAGCCTCAGGGGTCCAGGCCACTCGGGGATGGTTTCTCAGTTGTGTGGTAAAGCTGCAGGTACACATGCAGGCCGCCAGCTGCTTCCGGAGAAGCAGGAAGGCTGGGTAGGCCTGAGTGTCTCTTTTCTGGGAGACCCCGCAGCCTGAGCCTTTTAGAACAAGAAACCCAGGTGCATCCTGGGAGAGTGGGAGGGCGCATAATTGGCAGGACTGTGTCAGTCATTGTCACTGCTAGAAAATAACTGCCTGTTTACTTCCCAGGGATTCAAGTGGACAGAATTCCAAGATGGTTTCATGCAGAGAATAATAGCTCCGGAGGAGGAGAGGACAATATTAGCAAGACTTTGCGGTACCATGCTAACCAGGCAGGTTTCCATGCTGGTGTTAGGGTGGGCAAAGGCCACAGGGTTTTCCGGTGGTAAATGGTTCAGGTGTGTGATGCGAGCGGCGCTGAAGGGGGTCTCCTGTTTACCCCTTCGCATTGAGCAAAGCCCTTTATTGTTGAGTTAATCTTGAGAAATGGAGTTGCAGATGCTGCGTGGAGAGTTCTCCACTGTATGTGGTCATCATATAAACCCATACTCTCTGCTACACACCCACCGTACTCTGATACTCTTCCTCAAACACTCCAGTGAAATATTTATTCCTCTCTGTGTGTGTGTGTGTTGGATTCTACAAGGAAGCATGCCAAGTACGATAAGTTTGTATTTTGATGATATTTTTTCTTTTTTTTTTTAAGATTTTATTTTTATCGGAAAGTCAGATATACAGAGAGGAGGAGAGACAGTGAGAAAGATCTTCCATCTGATGATTCACTCCCCAATTGACCACAACGGCTGGTACTATGCCAATCTGAAGCCGGGAACCAGGAACCTCTTCTGGGTCTCCCACGCAGGTGCAGGGTCCCAAGGTCCCAAGGGCCATCCTTGACTGCTTTCCCAGGCCACAAGCAGGGAGCTGGAAGGGAAGTGGGGCTGCTGGGATTAGAACCGGTGCCCATATGGAATCCTGGGTGTGTTCAAGGTGAGGACTTTAGCCACTAGGCCACGCCGCCGGGCCCATTGATGATATGTTTCTGGAGATATCTTTTTGTTCTTTAAACTTCACTAACGCAGCTATTTATTTCCTTCTTCACATTTATGGAGATTTTAAAATCCTTATTTCTTTATATAAGCTTTCTGTTCTTCCTATTTCCTCATTTTTCATGGGGACTCTCATAATGCTTAAGTTGATTCACTCTAGGGTGTTTTATTTGCCCAGCAAAACTTCAGTTTTTCTAATCACTTTTTTTTTTTTTCAGTTTCAAATGATTTGTCTGGCAGTCTGTGGATTCTTTTCTCTGCTTCATCCAGGCTGCTCTTGAACTTGATGTGATGTTTGAGTGCTGTACTTGTGTCCACCAGCTGCAGGATTTCTCTGTGGATATGCTCTGTGGTTTCCTCATCTTTATTGAACTTCTATTGTTATTTCTATGCTATTCTATTTCTATTTTCTTTCCCTGGTATGATTGACTTGGCTATCAGCTTTTTATTTTAGCTCACTGGCCCTCAAGACAAGCATCTAAGCTTTCTCCATCATCTCATCACTCTGTTTCCGCATGGACAGTTTTTCATCGTTAGTTTTGTCACATTTACCAGGTTATTTGTGAGTCTGTGACTTTGTATTCACGTCTGTGCCTTTTAAGAAGTAAGGCTCTGTTTTTAAGTCCTTCTGGTCTGGCTGTGGTTGGGTTTTGGTTGGGCTGTCACGCAGGCTCCATGGTGTTCTCTGCTTCAGTTCTTACATGACCTAGAGCTTGCTTTATCCCAGGGGTAAGTCCCGGACCTGGAGCCACAGAGATCAGCTTGGGACCTGGAGCCACAGGGGAAGGCCTGCAGCCTCAGTAACCTGGGCCAGGCCTGAAGCTGTTTCCACATGCGCAGATCTGATGTCCTTGTCCCAGAGGTGGTCTTACAGGTACTTGAAACCTGTGTACGTAAGAGCTTACTGGAACTGCGGGGACCCAAGCCTAAGGTCGCCAGGACTTCTGACCTGGCCCTAGACCTAAGCAGTCTGGAGCATGAGTTGATGAAACAGGTCTGCTTCTACATTTGTGCTGGTCAGACTGGTTCTGTGTCCATAGCAGAGGGCTGGCGCCTGGGGTCCTATACGCATCCTTAGACTGCTGGAACAGGCCTGGGTCTTTCCTGTGGTGCCAGCCTGGTTACTGGGATGGGTCTAAAGCCTGAGTATACGGCACCCACCATGCTCCTGGTCTGGGTCCAAGGTAAACCTGGAGTCTCACTTTTTTCTTCTTCCCTCTGCAGAGACTGTCTCAATCCTATCATGCCCGGGCTTGGGAAAGGATGATGTAAGTCATGTGAAAATGTCCTTGCTTCCAACCTCAGTGCATCTCTTCTTATTTTAGTGCTTTTTCCAGGTACTGCACCATCTCACCTGGATTCCAAAGTTCTTGTGAAGCTATTGTTTTATTCGGTGCTTCATACAATTGACGTCACTGTGAGGAAATAAGTATGGAAAACTGACATCACACCATCCACTAAGTATCTTCTTATCAATAATATAGAACCATGATGAAATTTGTTTGCTGGGTCTCTTGACATTCTTTGTCACCCCAGGATTTGGAAGAGTTTATCCCTGTCACAGAAATGCTTGAAACACTCTTTCTTTGTTTTGAATACAATATGCTTGTTTTTGCAGGCAAGTGGATGCCAAATAAATTTTTTTTGGCATCAGTACATGTTACAAAGCACATTCTCTACATTTGTGGAAACTGGATTTGGGTTTTGGATCCACTTCAACTTGTGGTATTTTGGCACATGTTCCCTTTTGATATGGTCGGACAGAGGATCCCAGAAAGGCGATAAATTAATTTGGGGGAACTTTTCTATGTTTGAAATTATGTTCATCATCCTGAAAGAAGACATTTTCTTCTATTTTCATAAATAAAATACTGTATTCCAGTTTTTAAATTTCTGGGTATCATTCAAACCTAATTTCCCTAGACCAACAATTTATTTAGTTAAATGCATTTACTGACCCATATGATCATATTTACACACGCACAGGGAGAGGGACAGAGAGAGAGAAAGAGAGAGAGAGAGACGTGACACTGAAAGGAAATTGTAGCTATGTTGATTTGCACAATACGACATATCTGTAAAGGAGTGAATAAAGGTGGCATTTGAAATGAGTCTATAGAATGTCAATGATTTTCCTCCTATTTCAAACCTGTCCTTTTATGTTCCACTTCATGCTGGTGCAACTGTAAACTTCATTTTCTTATTATAAACGTTCCCTTCTCTGGGGAATCAAAAATCCTGGAAAAGAACAAACTTGCTCATTTCTAATTGCTTCCTCTTTCTGTTAGTGTCCCTAGAACAAAATGTCTTCAGCCTGGGGCATGTTTATCTGTAGCCAATTACAGTTTTCCAGTTGTTGTAATATCCTGAAACCAGTATCTTTGTGCTGTTTCAGATACACTAGACCCAGCCAGCTGTGAGGTCCAGGAGTGAGGGCCTAGGTTTGCTGGTTCGCTCTGTTGTCCTAATTCCGTCTAACTATTCTTTTGTCTCTTTAGACCTGGGAGTGGTAGCTTAGCAATGACCTCCTCTGTGACATTTCATGTTTTGTTTTTGACATTTAAAACTCCTCTTTAGTATTAAGCTCTGTATACGAGGTTTCCTTTTCATGTTAGGATCTTTGAAGAAGTTGAGATTGAAAAATGATTTTGTTCATGTCCTTGGATTTGAGTGTACTGTTGAGCTCCTTGAAAACTCTGAATTGGATTCTGGTAACTCTTGCCTGTGTTGGCATCGTGATTAGCCATATTAGCATCTGTTTTTGATCATCAGAAAGCCCCTGCTAACGACATGTCTCTCTGGAGACCAAGTGGCGGAGTCTGACAACAGTGAGGAACAAGAGCTCAAAGGATGAATGGCTGTTGATAAACACAGTGAAACACACCCCCAAAGACAGGCTCAGGGCATCAGATCCCATTCAAGTCAGGCCAGAGAGACCAAATGCTCCTGTGTCGGGCCGCGGAAGGCTTCTTATCTCCCTCACATCAGGACAAATGTTCCTGAAAAGTTCAAAGAGCTAGTGCTTCAGATTTCAGAATGATAGCATGATGTCAGACACTCAACCTCTTACATTTCTCCCTGAAGCTGAGAATCTTAAACCTTTGAATCACTTTGACTTTTTTTTTTTTTCAGTAGAATCAGTTCACTAACTATTTTCTGGAAGATTCTATAATAGCCTGACTGGGGATATTTGCTTAACAGAAGCCTGCCTGTTCTCCCCAATACTGACTTCACTCTTTGTTGCTGTTGAGACATCACTTTTGACCAGAGTTAGTCTCAGCATGTTCTAGGAGAAAAAAGCCCAAAGTTTCACCAGGAGAAGAGAGTTTACATTTCAGGTAATATTTTAAAATGCCTGGGGCCCGGCACGATGGCGCAATGGTTAAGGTCCTGGCCTTGCACGCCCAGGATCTCATATGGGCGCCGGTTCTAATCCCAGCAGCTCCACTTCCCATCTAGCTCCCTGCTTGTGGTCTGGGAAAGCAGTCAAGGACAGCCCAAAGCTTTGGGACACTGCACCTGCGTGGGAGACCCGGAAGAGACTCCTGGCTTCAGATCGGCATAGCATCGGCCGTTGTGCTCACTTGGGGAGTGAATCACCGGACGGAAGATCTTCCTCTCTGTCTCTCCTCTCTGTATATCTGCCTTTCCAATAAAAAATAAAATAAATAAATCTTTAAAAATGCCTGGGTTCGAGTCAGGAAACTAACCATAAATACGCAAATGAAGGAGGGCTTATCTAGGTAACCAACTGTAAGTAACTTTGGGGGAATATTAGTGTAAGTAAGGCTGGGGATTCAAGTCGAGCCGTATTGGGAAGCACTTTCTGTGTGCTTTGAATGAAGAAAGAAGAACCCAGAAAAGAATTTGACCAGGAGTAATGGTATTATAGGCTTGTTTCTGGAAGATGGATGTGAGAGTTAACATACAGGATGGAGTCTGACCGGGAACTTAAAACAGAGCTGGCTGGTTGAAGGCCTTTTCTGGATCATCTATTAAGTAAGCATGCGTAGACTTAGCTTGCAATAACAATTAAAAGGTAGAGAGAAGCTAAAGGCTCTATGTAACTTTGTAGATGGTAAGTGGAGAGGGTAGACCAGAGCAACGGGGAGATGAGGCTGAAATACTAAGTCTGGGAATGGGAAAACACCCAGGAAAGTGAAGGTCTGAGAAAGAAGCAGATGAAAGTGCTGCATGACTCTGCCCTCTGAAGGGAAGGCTGGAGAAGGCCTTGGAGGAACATCACAGCATCCTGAAAGAAGTCCTGCCATCTGTGAGAGTGAAAATTAATCATGATGTTACCATCTTTATCCTCAAAGGTTTAACTAGAATTCTTGTTCAGGTACCCTCACTAACCGAGGTAAACTTGAAATGCAGAATTGAAGTTGCTAACAGCATTTTTGTATCATTGCACTCGTTCACCTTCACACGGACCAATTTCATTCTGTTGATTTTGAAGCCCCCAGTTTCCTGAGCAAACATACACCTGGGCAGAAGGGTGTTCTAGCCAGCTAGAGTCCAGAATCAGTTCTTTTGGGCAATTGGATATCAGCTGTGAGCCATGCATATGCCCGCTCAATAAGTTACTGGACTGCCCCCTTTTGGTGGATTTGAGAATGCGCAGATCTTCCATTACAGATTGCACAATTGACCAAGGATTCAACCTGTTCACTGTTGTTGCCCACGAACTATTGAGGCCATGCTTGTTCAGGCTACTCCAAGTCAGTGATGGAATAGAGCCACGATGCTAAGCAGGCCTATTCCTTACAAACACAGGACTCCTCTGATACTGAAATTTGCACTTACATCTCAGCAATGATGATGGAAAACCTTTCCTAGATCATTTGGAAGTCTGGGATACTTCCATCCAACTTCCTCCGGCCCCTCCCCCACTTGCTAGTGCTCTGTCTTGTATCACTGTGTTTTTTTAGCATATTTCCTACTCTCTTTCACGGGTTATCTCCTAATAAGCTTTTCACACGCTGCTTCTTGAAGGACTTTATCCTTGGAGGACTCGTACGTTCTCTGACACCTGCATTTACCCTCCGTGCTTTCAGTTAGGCCTGGTTCCCTATTCTGACTCTCAGGACACTTGAGTGGGAAATTGTCGTGTCATATCTGGTCATTAGAGCTAGTCCCGCCTCTTCAGTTGGAGCTGGTTTTCTTTTTAAGAGGGTCATAGGTAGAGCGTTTATTATCACAAGTTTGTTCTGGAACCATCTGCAAGATGTTGACTACTGCTATGACCTAGGAACTTATCACCTTGTCACCACTATTGCTGTGACCTGGAAATGAAGTCACATAGCAGCTTTTTACTCCTGTGGATATCGTATATGAGTTTAATCAAGTTGGACATTGGAATTTTGACCATAGGTCCCCTTTATATGATGTGGACGAGTAGGCTAGTTACATAAACTTGTAACCTGTATGATTTTGGACATTCTTCCCTTCCACACCAATATTAGTTCAGATACCAGTTTCCCATATATTAAGATTTGGCATATCATCCACATTTGGGAAATATTTAAATATTTTTCTCCTAAATAGGTGAGATTTTCAATCATCCTTATTGGCAATGAGTTACAGATTGTAGGTTACGATCTTGAATACAGCAGAAATGTGAAAGCCACGAAAATTTGAATGATGTAGAAAGTACAAAGTATTTCTAAAAGTTCACGGGAAAGGGAATTTAAATATTAATTTGGATGCAAAAATAATTTTGAAATCCAAACATGGTTTAATAGCATTAATTTCTGTGAATTTTTTGAAGACTCTTCATCCTCTAAGGAGCACGAAGGTGGAAAATGAAAGTGGATAACCTCAAGGTAAACCTCGTTGCCCTCCTAGTTTTACAGAAATAGGAATGCCTTGTTTTTGGACATGTCTGTGTCTTAGGCTCAACACAGAATTGCACTCTATTTGTCAGATAAACATAGAGTTATGTAACAACGGAGGCTATAGGTTTTCCTGTGGCTTATGTCCCAACTTAATCCTTTCAGTGATCACAGATGGTAAATTATCCCGATCAGCTTATGTTTCCAACATAGAAAGCTCTTTATTTTCAGGTCTTTAGAAAGTGCAGTTAAATCTGCAGACTGGTAACAGGGTCTGTGAAAAGGAGTCAGGAATCCTGTTGACACATGAGTCTGCAGGAAGGATTTGAGCAATGCAGGAAACATCGCAGGAGACAGAATCTACTTTGCTGAATACTGCTTTAAAATCTATCATCTTGTCTAACTATCATCTTATTTCATCTATCTTTCCTCAATTTGAGAGATACAGACACAGAGAGAGAATGACAAAGATCTCTCAACTTTTGAATCGCCTCTCAAATATTGGCAGCGGCCAGGGCAAGGTCATGTCAAAATCAGAGAGCTGGGACTCGACCTGGATCTCTCATACAGGTGATCGGAACTGATCCCCTTGAGCCATCACTGCTGCTTCGCAGGGTCTGCATGAGCAGGAAGCTTGCATCAACAGTGGAGCCAGAAGTTGAACCTGAACACTCTGAGATGCAGAACTCGTACTAGCCAGCATGCCCACTGCCCATTCACACCCTCCTGTTCAATAATGTCTTAGCCCAAGGGAACTGTCAACAGAGAAAAGATTTTCTGGCTCGCTCTCTACATGCTTGTTTCCTGTGCCTTACCCTACCAGGGAACTGAAAGTTCCAAGGCTCTTGCACTGCCTCTGTGTGATGTGCTTATTTCTTTGTCTGTAATGTGTTTCTGGAGAAAGTCCTGAGAAGCTTGTTGCTATTCATGAAAGGAGCATGATAAATACAAAAGCAACTGGAGAGTATTACAGTATCCTATAAATCCAGGATAATGGTATTTGCTTAAAGGTAATGTTAAGAGGTAAGCACTATAACCATGCAGCTGTGATTTTTTGCAGCCAGTAGATTTGCCAAATAACACAGGGTTCCTTCCATGTGTGACCATCAACACTAAAATAGCTTAAACATAATATCCTCAAGACACAACTTGGCTGTCTATCACATGAGCATAAAGTCAGTAGCTTCAGATGTATTGCTGCTCTGGAAGTTGGGATCTGAGATCATGTGCCAACAGGGTTTGGAGAGGCCTCTTCCTGATTTATGCAAAGTCCTCTGCGTTAGCCAGGTTTGTGGCCTTTTTCATAAGGACACTTATCCATTCAAGAGGCCTTACTCTAATGATCAAAGAACTTACTTAAGGGACACGTCTCCAAACATGATCACATCGGGATCAGTATGTGGCCTGTAGGGGAACACCAGCACTCAGTCTATTCCGTGGTGATTGGAAAAACTAAGCAGAATGTAAGGTATGTATAATGTTATGTCAAGGATGTATCATAAATCAAAATTCAATTATTTGAATTCAATCTTCAGTATATGGAATACAAAAACTTAAAAGGAACAAGCTAAAATGTGTTTAAATGTAAACGTATTAAGAAGCATAAGATAAGTTAAAATGTGTTATGATTTAAGTGTGCTTCTAAAGATTCACGTGTTGAAATTTACCCTCATTGCGAAGTAGTAAGAGGGCAACGAGTTCATCCACTGAAGCGTCGGAGGCGGGACCTGGGGAGACGATTAGGATTTGAGTTTTAATGTCCTCATGACTGACTCTTTCTGACTTTATCAGAACAGGGCCAGAAAGCGGAAGAGGCATGCACACATGGACAGTTGCCCGCTGTCTCTTGCTGTGCCATAGTCGGTGCAGCACCTCAAACACTGGGGGAGATTGATCCTAGAATAAACCTGAAGAGGGGCCCTCAGTCACAGGCCCCCAGGGCTTCTCTTGCAGACCAAGCAGGTTTTTCGGGGTAAGATTGGGAGGGCCTTTCTGCTAGGTCTACAAGTTTTGCAGCCTCAGCCAACTACAGATCAGGGACGGGGGCTGAGTGTGGATGAGCTGGAGCAGGTGTCAATTTGTCTGGAGGGAAGTGGGCCAGAATTGTCTGCTCATTTCATTCCCCTCTGACTGGCCTAGGATCATGCTTGTGATGGGATACAGCCTGAAGCTTTCACCCTTCCTGTTTAGGTGCAGCGGATAATAAAATAGGCAGAATTCATTTTCATATTCCAGTTGCAGATGAAAAATGAAGGAATAGATAAGAAATGGTGAGCAAAACATATGAATAAAAGAATACCAAGTCAGAATTTTTTTTAAAGATTTACTTAATTTTATTGCAAAGTCAGATATACAGAGAGGAGGAGGAGTGACAGCAAAATATCTTTCGTCCAATGATTCACTCCCCAAATGACTGCAACGGCTCAAGCTAAGCCTTTCCGAAGCAAAGAACCCAGATCCTCCTATGGGTCTCCCATGCGGGTGCAAGGTCCCAAGGCCTTGGACCATCCTGGACCGCTTTCCCAAGCCACCAGCAGGGAGCTGGATGGGAAGCAGGGTGGCCGGGATTAGAACTGGCATCCAGGGGTCTCAGGACAGGACATCTCATGCCTGGATCCCAGATGACAGCAACCACGAGCACATGGTGAGCTGTCCCCGGGCCTGCCTGGGCTCCAGGGGCTGCTCCCTTCAGGGTGAGTATACTGAGGGGCGAGGTCTCCGTGACTGGGCAGGTCCATGGCCCACCTGCTGCCCTCATTGGGCTGTGAATGGGATTGGGGAGGGGCGCGACCTTGGGCCTGGGAGTTTAAACTTCCAGCAGCCTCCCGGCTGCTGGTAGGTCTCAGGACAGGGCGTCTCATGCCTGGATCCCAGATGACAGCCACCATGTGCACATGGTGAGCTGTCCCCAGACAGCCAGTGTGCCATTTGGCACCAAGCTCTGCCTGCTGGCTACCTGTCCTGGACCTCTGGGGTTTTGTTTCTTTGAATCGCTGCTTAGGTAGTTCTAGGTTCTAAGCATAGTTACTATGCTTCTAGGAGGTGAATCAGTCCTAAAGACAGTAGCTCTTCCTTTGTAGAGCCTGTAATCGCTGAACAATGCTGACCACTAAATATCAGTCCATGCAAAAGCTATGGCTCAGGGCTTGTCCAGCAGAATCATATCCTGTTACCTGACATGATGATGGATCAGGAGAAGGGTCACATTAAGCAGGGCCATTACATTAACTACCACTCAAGAACCATATCGGGGGGGAGGGGGGAGTCAATGCCATAGGGGATGTAAAGGCCAAACCCTGTGGAAATTCTAGCCCCACTGGTTAGCTCAAAAGTTGAGGTGGTGATGGAATAAGCTAGGTGTGACCAAAGAGCCTGCCATCAACCACAGGTAAAGGAACCCCCAACAGTCTGGACTGGTCAAGGCAGCAGCCCCCAAATGTGCATCCTTAATAGGGTGTGGGGTGGGCCAGACTGCAATGTTCACCAGGTCATTCAAGGCCAAATCGAAGGCCTGACTTCGCCAGAACCTGGCCTAAACCCAATGGCATGTATGAGAACTGGGTCTGGGAGCGGATTAAGTGGAGAAACTTAGGAAACTCCCTTGGCGAGTCATAGCTCCTGCTGGTGAACATATGGTCCAGGCCTGGGGGTCGACGAGCTGGGAAAAGTAGCTCCAACAGCTGGCTAATGTGTCAATTGGTAATGGAACAGGATGGACAGGGCAGGACTGAGCAAACCTTAATCCACAAGTGAAACCAAAGACCAGGATGGAGCACAGGTCATGCCGAGCTTGGCTCATGTACCTACTGGTCTGTGTGAGCCAGGAATGCTAAGCCACAGTGTTTAAGGCAGAGGTTGGGACAGGTGAGGGGCTGAGGCAAGCTGAGTCAGAGCAACCACTGGCATGCACGTGATCAGGCATGGAACAGGCCCAGTTGGGGAGCTAAGAGGACAACCCTAGCTGGGTTGAGGTTCCCAAGGAGCACTTAGGCTGGAACTGGGGCTGCGTTCTGATCGGGAAATGGTTGTAGTCTCCATTGGCACAAGTGTGGGCTGGAATTGGATGCACTGAGCTGGGCCAGACTCCATAACCCTCTGGTTCTCCATAACCAACTCCTCTGGCAAGACACAGACCCGGCAGGTAAGCGCAAGAAACATGATAGGAAACAGCCCAGAACAGGCCATGGAAAGTTACCCATGGGCATGGATCAGGGGCAGACTAGGCTGAATCTGTTCACATCATCCACTGGCAAATCCAAGCACCAGAACACTGTGGGTCGAGCCAGGTTCAGTCGCAACAAAAACTAGTGCACAATGTTGAATGCCAAGGTGAGGTTGCCTGTACCAGATGTGACCGCAGTGCCCAACCAGGACGCATGAGAACCAGGAAGGGAGGAGTGGAGCTAGCAAGGGGGAAATGTGGGTTCCCTTGCTGGATAGCTACTCCCGCTGGAGAGCATGAGCTGGGTTGGGGGCAGACTGGACTAAGCAGGGCTACAACACCTGTGCGCCTCATGTGGACTAGATCAGGGAAAAGCCAGGCTGGGCTGATTATTCCTATTGGTGCAAACAAAATTAGAGTGGGTGAGGGTTGTTTTGGCTTAGCCACAGCATCAGCTGACAGATGCTGGCATTGGGGGCTAATTCTGTCAAGTCAAACCACAGAACTATCTGGAGAGTGCATAATCTGGAAGTGGGAGAGGCCTGGGAGGAAAATAGTGGGCTCTTCCCTCTTGGGTTACCACTTTCATGGGAGGGCATGAAAACTAGGACAGAGGCTGGGGTGGCTAGACAGACACCCAACAGCATCTGTGTGGGCTGCATAGTAGCGCTGGTTAGAGGGAATAAAGCTTTAATACCCATTGACATGTATGAGAGCCAAATGGGATGTGGGACAGACTGGACTAGTCTGCTACACATACTGGCAAACCAGGGTAGGCAACAGGCCTGGTGGGGGTTATTGTGTGTCGCTCCAACTAGGCTGCAGCTCCTACTGGTTTATGCGAGGGTCGGTTGTGTGCTGGGCAGAACCAGGCTGGACTGCAACACCCATTGGTTCCAGTGGAAGTTGGGACTGAAAACAGAACCAACCCAGTGATTGCACTGTGCCAGGCCCTGTGCTTGCTAGTATATACAAGAATCTGGTTTGGGAACACTTCAGACAAAGTTTCTTTGGGGATCTCCCCAATCGAACTGCCAAACTAAGAACCCTAACCAAGAAAAGACAGAAGACAGAACAGGTCAGTCAACCCTCTCAGCTATATGTTCACAGTTGAAATACAGGGCAAACAGAGACTCTATGATGGACCATGTCAACCAGTGGATTCTTCAAAGACCTCACCATGCTTGGAGTAGCAATATAGGCAGCGATTCATAACAGGTGAACTACCAAAACCACTGGGACCTGGGAAGGGTGGGAAATTGAGTGGGCCTTCTCCGTTAATACCCCTTTTAAACATGAAGGAAGCAATATGAAAACAATAGTCTTACCCACTTTCTTATAGCCATCGAGCCTTTGTACCCTTATTAATGATTGTCAATGATTGTCAAAAATATAATAAAAAAATAATAAATTGTGCAACAACAACAAAAGAACTGGCATCCATATGGGATCTCAGAGCATTTAAGGCAAGGACTTAGCCATGGCAACAGGTCCAGAAAATTTTTAAAAAGATCATTTAAAAGTGTAAGTTGTGATTTAAATTTAAACTAAATCAAATGTAGTTTACTATCACCTTTAAATTGTGATTTAAAGAGTGTAAGTTGGGTAGCTATGGGGCGTGTTATCTTTCTGAGGTTGTCTTACGTAACCTGAGGTCTGAACATAAGAAAAGTGTGAACTCTGTTAAGGTCTTGCAATGGTACATTTCAGTTAAAGTGGAAGAGAGTGGACAAATCTAACTGTTCTCAGTGGGAAGGAGTTTTAGTTTGAAGGAGCAGAGTTACAGGAATACAGAGGGAGGGAAAGTTATGAAACGAGGTCAAAGGGTAGAATAGGATTTTATAGAATGTGGTGTGGTTTTATGTTTTCTTTTCATTGCAATGATTAACCACTGCAGGGATTTAAGCACAGAGGCAACCAGATCTTATTCGTGGTTGTGAATTATCAGTGTCCCTGCTACATGCAAAAATAGAATTTGAGGGTGTAAGAATGGGACCGATGAGGCTATTTGGAAGGCCTTGGAGAGAGATCAGTGGTGAATGGCAGTTTGGCGCAGGACAGTCTGTGGAGGTAGAAAAAAAGGGAAAAGCCTTTCTGATACTGTCACCTGGTGAGGTATGGTGCAATGAATTGTATTCAATTTTTTGTGTGTGTGGAATCGTGATCCCCAGTAGCTTGGACTATCTGGAGATTGCATCTCAAAGGAGGTACTTAGGGGAAATGAGTCTTGGAGTATGTCACCACCCGACACGTGCAGCATCGGTGGGTGGAGGAGAGTCAGACAGAGAAACATTCAGAGGAAGACCAGAGAAAGATCTGCTGTTTGCCACCTGCAGACCAAGGAAACAGGGCTTAGAGTTAACGTGCCCTCTTGTCAACTTTGGGGCATGTAGACAATAGAACTGTGAGAGAAACAAGTTTGTGTTGTGTTAGTGACTCAGCATACATTATTATTTTTTTAATGGCACCCCTGATTAATTCATGAAAGCAAATAAAGGAATCCAGGACTAGTCCCAGGTTTCTGGCCGGACATTTAGAGGTACCACTGGCAGAATAAACTGGGCCGGGGTACACGCAAGGATGTTGGTTGGAAACACTGAAAGATAAACAGAGCAGCTTTACCTATTTTTATAGGAATAAGCAGATGTGAACCTTGGCACGCATTTACAACTTTCAGACGTCAACACGGAGGACTGGTTGTAACAGGGTCAGGTCATCTATGAGCGTCAGTAAATTGGACTCTGTTACTTTGTATGGAAGGCAGCCCCGTGTTGTGAGACTTCTATGTCTGTAAAAATCAGTAAACTTTGGACAGACACAGTCAAGTCAAATGTCACCTTCAGAAGCCACTCCAAATTAGGAGGCAGTTTCGGCGTTCTGAAAATATTTACTGGCTTAGACATGATAAGACACAGCTTTGAATTTGATCTCTGCCTTTTTTAGAAGACTATAATTTAAGTTTATGCTGGCTGGAACTTAAAGTCCTCATCCATTTGATAATGATTTTTTTTTTTATTAGGCATGATTTCACTGCATTTTTCCTAGTTTGCAACGTATAAGAATAGTTTTATTTATTGCATGATTTAGGAGTGTTAGCTGTTAGAGGTCTTATAAATTCCCACACAATAAACTGTTGGAAATTGAAAGGTAGTTTTAAATGCATGATTTATTTTCCCATTTATTTGGCTCATTCTTTAGTGTTTGTTATTGCCAAGTACTGGAAACAGCCCACACACCCATACCAAGTACTTGTGCAAATAGTCCTTGTTGTACCCCGAGTCCCTGGAACATTACACTCCACTTTCTGGGTGCCTATCCCTACTGCTGCCTGCCAAAGTCAGAGAAAGTGCCGTGGCCAAGGTTTTTTACTTAGAATAACAATAACAACAACCACCACAACAATAAAATCCCAAGATGCTGGGGTCCGTGCAGTAGGTGTGGATGACAAGAAGGTGTGAAGAGACCAGCTCCCCTGTTTGGCAGGGCCCAGGGGAGCTTCCAGATGTTTTCCTCAGGGCCCTGCGGTTTTCTCTCTGAGCACTTTGATGTGGTCTCACCCCCTGTTTGCACAGACACTCAAGCACCCCACTAAGAATTCTGCAATCTATTGAGGCATTGTTGTTTGTCCCAGTGAGATGGCTTTTGTAACGGAGGTGAGCTTGGGAACTAACGTTACTGATAATGTCCTGCTGAATGGGCCTTTAGCTGCACACAGGAGCACAATTAAGCCCTTGTGGTTTCTAGACACCTTATTGTGTGCCTACCTTCCCATTACCTTAGAATCTGGCCCAGACACATAGCATGCCTTCTGGGAAATGACTTAATAAGAATTTTACAAATTTTAAATTCACATCGGCTTTCTAAATGGCAGTCATACACAGAAATAACTGTCTCTAATATCTAAAACGTGTTCGGACTCCTCCTTGGCTAAGGAACTCTGTTCCTAAAGCCAACAATTTTAAGACAGCAGTTTTGGGGGCCATTTGAACTCTTTGTACAATAATAATTTGTAAAATAAATAAATAAATAAATAGCCCTCAATAACATAACATTTTAAGACTACCCAGGGGAGGAATCAAGATGGCTGGCTAGGGTAAGGACACATTTAAATGAATGGAGAAACATTTAACCAGGAGGAAGCAGAGAGGACACATTCCAGGAAATAGGAAAGGACAGAACAACAACAGAGGGGTACCTGGAGACTGAAAGACAGGAAAGCAGTGGACACAACGGTGTGGTGTTGTGGTAACTGATACTCCAGCAGCATTCAGCTAACGGCCATCTGAACTCCACCAGCAGCTGGAACTCCACCAGAAACCAGGTGGGAAGGGACTTTCACTGGGAGCTTGGGAGGTGAACCCAGACAAAGAACTGTCCATCCAGCTGGTCCATTTTATTTGTCCAGGAGCAGAGACAGAGCAGCAGATCCCAGGTGGGCAGTGTGAGAACAGCATGGATTTCACAGCCCAGTCAGCCCCCCAGCACCGAATTAGGTGCCATTTTGCATAAGGAAGCAAAGGCAAGGGAAAGAACTGAGCATACGCTGAGCTGGGAATGAACTCATTTCTGACTCAGTGAACGGCATCAACATGGCATTCTACAGGTTTCACGTGGGGCAGGTCTGGGTAGCCCTCAGATCTGACTGCCAGTAGATCAAGAACTGTAGTAGTGGTGCGTCAGGTGCCATTTTGTACAGTATGGCAAAAGTTTAGAACTGCAGGGGACAACAGTGAACTGTGCATGCATTAAGCTAGGCAAAAACTCACCGAGTTCAGTGGATTGCACTGGTCCCACAGGAAAATAGGCATCGTACGAATCAAAATAGGTCCATGTGGCACCCAGACCTAACGTTCAACAGGTTCCAGCAAGATCAGCACCACCAAGAACCTAATTATATTAGACACCTGGTGTCTTTCTAATCCTGGGACCTGCTCCAACTGAAAGTGGGAGAAAGGTTGCAGAGACAACGGTGCAACCTCCAGTACAGTATCATAGGAGGTGGAGAGTGGTGAGCCAGGAGCTGAGGCTGTGGAGACCACGGTGGAAATCTGACATAAGAACCCAGACCTGGAACTCGCTGGAGAAAGTGGCATGAGTGACTGCAAACACAGAACTTTGTACGAACTAAAATAACTAAAACCAAACTGTTGACTTGTGGGTGACACAGCTTAGAAACCTGCTCCAAGGAGAAGATTCTGTTGACCAAAAGTACAAGGCCAAGAGCAAAAGAAGGGACAAATGCACAATGAATATTACTGAAAACTCCCCTACAAAGGAGCAAAACCCTATGCCAGCATCAGAGTTCACAGAGGAGGACATCGAGAAAATGGGGGACACAGAATTCATAAGACTCATTTTAAAGCTTCTGATCAACATTGAAAAGTACATACAAGAGTTCAAAGCATTTTAAGGAAACAATAAAGCAAATCAAGGCTGATATATCAGAAATTAAGAATGCAGTAGAGCAAATTAAAAGTACAGTGGAGAGTCTCCAAAACAGAATGAAGCAAGCAGAAGAAAAAATCTCAGACTTGGAAGACATTTCCTGTCACCAGAGGAAGCAAACAAAAATCTGGAATCAGAGCTGGATCAGGTCAAAAAAAGTATTCAAGAATTGAAAGACACTATTAAGAGGCCCAATATAAGAGTTATGGGAGTCCCAGAAGGTGCAGAAAGAGAAACTGGTTTTACAAATATATTTAATGAAATAATCAAGGAAAATTTCCCTAATCTGGAGAAAGAATTGGGAAACAAGATCCAGGAGGGACACAAAACTCCCAACAGGCTTGACCAAAAGCGATCTTCACCAAGACACATGGTCATCAAGCTCTCTTCAATCGAACATAAGAAAAAGATCCTTAAATGTGTGCGTGAAAAAAAAATCAATTCACATATAAAGGAATGCCAATTAAACTCACAGGAGATCTCTCACAGGAAACTCTACAGGCAAGAAGAGAACGGAGTGACATATTCCAGATTCTAAAAAAAAAAAAAAAAAAAAATTGTCGGCCCAGGATAACATATCCGGCAAAGCTTTCTTTTGTCTTTGAAAATGAAATAAAATTCTTCTACAGTAAAGTTAAAATAATTTGCCTCTTCCAAACCTGCCCTACAAATGATACTTCAAGATGTTCTCTTGACAGAGAAGAGGAATAGCACCTATCAAAATCAAAGGCAAATGGGAAGAACATCCCAGTAAAATGACAACAGAAGACTAAACCAATGAACAACCCATTGCTAAAATGATAGGACAAAATTGCCATCCATACATATTAACCCTGAATATAAATGGCTTAAGCTCAATCAAACGTCATAG